ATTTTAAAATTAAATTCTATTAAATAAATTAACTAATTAATGGAAAAAAGGCATAAACACTGATAAATAATAATCTCAAATTAAATTAACTAATAATTAAAAGAGTAAAAAACAAATATACTGTATATAAATGCCTCGTAATTATAAAGATAATTAAAATTAAAAAAAATAATTTATTTATTTCACCCCCTCAGACACTGGTAAGGCCATCCCACTCCTACTAAAGCTGATATAGCTAAGCCCTGAGTTAAGGCCTCTTTAGTCACAAATGTACAGCTTTCAAGTCATAAAATATACAAATGAGATTAATAAAACATTTAAAAAAATAGATTTTTTTACGACTTATCAGGAAATATCACATAAGTTATTTTTTTCTTAACATAAAATACTATATTTTGGGACTTCCTATGCATCTGAGACCCCAAAATAGGGTCTTGACATATAGAGACACAGATGAAGAGTGTGTAAGGAAGATAAATTAGTCCTGTAGAGTATTTATATAATATAATATAGAAATTTATAATTTAATATTTTAAAAACATTTCAATTTTAATGTATATTTTTTAAAATAATAAAATTTTAAGACAGTATTATATTAACTTATATCACGTGTTAAACAATAATTTATAAAGCGATATAGCCTTTATATATGGACATAAGATAAAATATTGTCTTAAAAAAATTAATTTTTTAAGTTAAAATAAAATCCATTAATTTAATATATGACCTTAGTAAAAAATAAATAAAATAACTTTAATATTGTTAACCAGGTAGATGTATCTTAACGTTAAACACGATTCTCCGCCTACATATAATAATTAATTAATATTGCCAAGAGAAATTTATTATTTCTTCTAAATTTATTTTTTATCTAAGTAAATTCGACTCGAAAAATAATATTTAATATAACTTTTACATTAAATAAAGATTATTTTTATTTTCCTGATTGTTATAAGGTATATAACAGAGGGAAAGTATGGCGATATGTCAAAGAATGACCCACAAAATTTTCTTCACCAATTTGAAGCTTAATAACTCCTGTGCTTTTTGTCGAAAATTTATGAAATTTTGCATGGAGGTTTGTGCATTAGGGGAATTGTTGCTACTAAATTTTGGTGGTTTAAGGTCGAGGGGGTGGGAAGATAAAGGGGTTCGTGTGTATCTCCAGTAGGATCAGACTTAATAATGATTTTACTGGTTATTAGTACAGTCGACCCCCCTATAACACTGTTAATTATTCCATTTTATATGAATTCCATGTTGTACGAGTCACTTAGATTTTACAAATACGTGAGCCGTTCACAGCCCGGCACACATATTTGTAAAATCTAAGTGACTCGTACAACATGGAATTCATATAAAAAGGAATTATTAACCGTGTTATAGGGGGCTCGACTGTATTTACAATTTTTATAAAACTCATCCCTACCTCGAAAATTATATTTTTTACCATAATCAATATTATAAAAAAGTTTTTAAATAGAATATCATAATAGATGGCGCCATACGCACTTTTAAATGTCGTTGTCTGGGAAAGTTAAGCAACTGGTTGATAAATTATTCTCTTGAAAAATATGAAATAAAATGATTTAATTATCAATTTAATGCATTGTTAAATGTATATAATCATTTTTGTTGTAATTATTAACACCATTTAAGATATTATACAGGTTATAAATGCATTTAATGTAAAAATAGTAACTAAATAATAGCAGGATAAACAGGTTATAAGTACTGACAAACATACAAGACATTATTTTTAGATGGAGTATGTAGTTCAGATAACCCCTTTCTTATATATTTAGATACTTCTTATATATAAAAGTTATGTTAATATACTTCTTATAAGCAATAGGTATGTTAACAGTAATAGATAACTGTAAACAGTGTAAAATATACAGTAAAAGTGCGTATATTATACAGTATGCCGTATATACTTTCTCTATTATTATTTAAAATATAGGATCTATTACAAATAATAATATAATCTATATAGGATCATATTATTTGTAATAGATCCTATAAACATTATGAAATTTAATAAAAATCAGAAAATATTTATGTATTTTATTATATATTACGTAAAATATTCAATAAAATTCGAAATGGCATTCGTTAAATCATACATAATAAATCATATATGACAGTTAACATGCTTCTTACGTGCTGTGTGTTAATAGTTAAATATAAACTGTTTACTGTATATATAGATATAAGCCATTATTAACTGTTTACTGTAAACAATTTAAAATATATACAAGATAGTGTACAATGTACAGCACATTGCACATACTTTCTCCACTTGCATTTATTTAGTAAAGGCGTTTTATTCGAAAGAATATAACACTAAAATTACTCTAATTTTTGTTAAACAATATCTAAACATCAAAAAAATTTAATAAAAGTTATTAAATATTACGTAAAATATTTAATAAAATAAAAAAATGGCGTTTAATAAATCATATTTTTGATATATATGCCTATAAATATTAATATAGCACTCGATAACACGCACAGTTAATAAAATGATATTTTTTAAACAAATGGCACATAAAAAAAGGCACAGGCAATAATTAAAATTTAAAAAAATAATTTATTTATTTCACCCCCTCAGACACTGGTAAGGCCATCCCACTCCTACTAAAGCTGATATAGCTAAGCCCTGAGTTAAGGCCTCTTTAGTCACAAATGTACAGCTTTCAAGTCATAAAATATACAAATGAGATTAATAAAACATTTAAAAAAATAGATTTTTTTACGACTTATCAGGAAATATCACATAAGTTATTTTTTTCTTAACATAAAATACTATATTTTGGGACTTCCTATGCATCTGAGACCCCAAAATAGGGTCTTGACATATAGAGACACAGATGAAGAGTGTGTAAGGAAGATAAATTAGTCCTGTAGAGTATTTATATAATATAATATAGAAATTTATAATTTAATANCAGCCCGGCACACGTATTTGTAAAATCTAAGTGACTCGTACAACATGGAATTCATATAAAAAGGAATTATTAACCGTGTTATAGGGGGCTCGACTGTATTTACAATTTTTATAAAACTCATCCCTACCTCGAAAATTATATTTTTTACCATAATCAATATTATAAAAAAGTTTTTAAATAGAATATCATAATAGATGGCGCCATACGCACTTTTAAATGTCGTTGTCTGGGAAAGTTAAGCAACTGGTTGATAAATTATTCTCTTGAAAAATATGAAATAAAATGATTTAATTATCAATTTAATGCATTGTTAAATGTATATAATCACTTTTGTTGTAATTATTAACACCATTTAAGATATTATACAGGTTATAAATGCATTTAATGTAAAAATAGTAACTAAATAATAGCAGGATAAACAGGTTATAAGTACTGACAAACATACAAGACATTATTTTTAGATGGAGTATGTAGTTCAGATAACCCCTTTCTTATATATTTAGATACTTCTTATATATAAAAGTTATGTTAATATACTTCTTATAAGCAATAGGTATGTTAACAGTAATAGATAACTGTAAACAGTATAAAATATACAGTAAAAGTGCGTATATTATACAGTATGCCGTATATACTTTCTCTATTATTATTTAAAATATAGGATCTATTACAAATAATAATATAATCTATATAGGATCATATTATTTGTAATAGATCCTATAAACATTATGAAATTTAATAAAAATCAGAAAATATTTATGTATTTTATTATATATTACGTAAAATATTCAATAAAATTCGAAATGGCATTCGTTAAATCATACATAATAAATCATATATGACAGTTAACATGCTTCTTACGTGCTGTGTGTTAATAGTTAAATATAAACTGTTTACTGTATATATAGATATAAGCCATTATTAACTGTTTACTGTAAACAATTTAAAATATATACAAGATAGTGTACAATGTACAGCACATTGCACATACTTTCTCCACTTGCATTTATTTAGTAAAGGCGTTTTATTCGAAAGAATATAACACTAAAATTACTCTAATTTTTGTTAAACAATATCTAAACATCAAAAAAATTTAATAAAAGTTATTAAATATTACGTAAAATATTTAATAAAATAAAAAAATGGCGTTTAATAAATCATATTTTTGATATATATGCCTATAAATATTAATATAGCACTCGATAACACGCACAGTTAATAAAATGATATTTTTTTTTAAGATAAAATATTCTATATTTTCTTATAATTTTTATAGTCAAAACCTGTGAAAAATGGCCACCGACGGAAACATTTAAAAATGGCCGTTGTTTAGAGGTTATTTGTTCAAAAAAAGTTCCTTAAAAATAGTCGCAGTTTAGACAGGTCCGTTGCTGAGAGGTTCGATTGTTAAAATGCCAAAATTTATATTAAAATTCATTAAATTATTACTAATTGTTTTTAAAATAAACATTTAAATAATTCTTATAGAAAACAAAATACTGTAAATTAAGCTATTTTGTTTCGAATATTTAAAAAAAATTTAAAAAGAATATCCATTGAAGTTATTTTATATTTAAAATATATAAAAATTGAGCCAAGTTACGGAAGGAAGATGGAGAATTTATCCATAAATAAACAGGTATTGAATTAGTTATAAAGATCTTTACTGATCCTATCGACAGTTAAAAAATAAAATAAAATGTAAGAAACTACTTTTACATTCCCTGAATAATATATTATTCGACGATAAGATTAAATTACTTTCACAAATTCTTGGAAACTTTCTTTTTTTTTTCCTCTGATGCCTTCATCTGTGTATTGGCATCCAGGTAAGGATTTAATTTGCATAAAAATCCGGTTCACCTGTTCCGTGGACGAATACGAGGAAGTCTAAACACCCCCTACTCCCTATTAAAATACGTCATAATGTTCTTCGCTTATATCACACATCGTTAGTAATTGATTTAAATTACAATGATGATAACGGTTTAAAGTAGCATTGGCTTTATTAAAGAATGCCGCGTATAACGCGCAGGGGAACTATATCTACGAGCGGAATGATCGAAATTTTGCCCGTTTGCCGTCTAGTAGAATCAATGGCGGTCGGTGTAGTTGGGAGGTAGCGGCTAGGATCGCTACCTAGTTACAAAATATAATTATTATATATTATTATTTTTTTTTGTTAAAAATTTAGTGATAAGTGTAAGGCCGCAATGGGTAACTGTTTTAGTCGTTCGGCCAACAAGAACGTGAAAAAGAGTGATACACTCCCTCCGACCGAAAGGCCGACTGACAATGGTCCTTCTACTGTCGTCGTTTCTGTTCAGCCGACGACAGTGGATCCGATATCAATCGTCCAGCATCCGGATCAAAGAAGCAATAGCAATTTGCCTCCTGTTCCTTCGGATGGCGAAAGTGGATCGGGTTCGAGTTCGAAGGTATTCGTCGCTCTATACGATTACGATGCACGAACGGACGAAGACCTGAGTTTCAAGAAGGGCGAACACCTCGAGATATTGAACGACACCCAGGGAGATTGGTGGTTCGCTAAGTCAAAAACAACGAAACAAGAAGGTTACATCCCGTCCAACTATGTGGCTAAACTCAAATCTATCGAAGCTGAACCGTAAGTAGCAGATTTATTTACTTTTATTTATCAATAAACTCTATTAAAAAATAAATAAATCAACTTCCTCCCATTCTGTTAAAGTAGTATGATTTATCCGCATTCTGTTGACAGTTTGAGCATTGGTGTTTTTAAGGTCTCCTCCTATTGTATTGTTTTTAATACAGTAATATATAATTTTTGAGTGTAATCGCAGGCCGGGAAAAAAGTTATTACAGGGGCCTTAAAATATTTGCAAAAAAGAATTGTTTTCTTTATTATCGAGCCTTTTTTTTCGGGCCTCAGACGTTTGAGCCGGATCTACTAATCCTGCAACGTTTTAATAATAATATAGTATATTTTAAGGACAATATATGTAATTTCCTATATTTTTAATTGTCCTATATTATATTTTACAAGAGAATTTTAATAATTAAAAAGTAAATAATTTAGAAATGATAATAACATTGAAAATAAGCGTTACTTAGCATATTTTCTGGTGTTTTTCATAAGATGAAATTACTTAAATCAGCACATAAAAATGACAATATATAGATTTATAGGGGACTTAGAATCAAAAGAAAACCAGGAGAAAATTTTGTGACGAAGTAATTTTTAATTGAATAAACGATAAATTAAATATTTCTTTTTTTAAAGTATTTTATAACTATTATTTTCGAAAGACAATGAAGCTACTGTTAGCAATAAGAAAGCTTGAGAAAGGGGGTGTTCCCTCTCGCCCATTTTACATTCACTCTGCCTAAAATATTTACAAAGAATTTTTATAAATGTCATTTGTTAGATTCACCCAAATTTTTAAAATAGGATTTTTGTGCAAGAAAATAAAAAAATTTTTATTTATTTATTTTTAAATCTTACAAAAGTAGATTCCGTAACTCGAGCCAGTAAATATTATTGAAGTGAATATTCTGCACACGTCATTAATATCATCCTGCTACCAAATGTCGAACTGTGATTAACTTCAAGCGAAGTTTAGAGGCCTACTGCCCATAACCGGAATACTGTATTTTTTTTTCTTTTACGAGTTTGGTAGTACAAGGATAATTTTTATCTTTAAAAAAGAAAATAAAAAGAAATAGAACTCTTATTACTTTTGATTTCGGAAAGAATGTTGTTTTTTTTTCTACAGGATTTTTACCGAGTTACAATACAAATAATTGAAAAATAACTCAGATGCCGTGTTACAAAGGTTGAAGAAATCAGGCCAAGTCGTTATTTTGCCTACGTAATTTTTTCTTTTTCTCTCTCTCTCTCTCCCCCCTCTCTCTCACTCCCGAAACCGGATTTTACTTGATATCCCACGTTTCTATTTTATTTAAGTATGTGTATATATATACATATCTTATGTACGAAAGAATTGGAAAAACAAATTTGTAATCATCCATTAAGGAGCGGAAGATAAAAGGTTTATCGTTGACAAATAACATTGCGTTACCTTGAGTGCAAGCTTCGTTGACCTACTTCTGATGTGTCGTATGCCACAAGACATCCAGACGACCTTCCAGATAACTGCAAAAAGCATCCATTCAAGGTCAATTCCTCGAGATGTTGTGGTCGTAACACCTGGTACAAAATTTATAGAGAAGAGATTGAGCGAAAATCTGGGGATAAGGCGAATGTACTTTCACGAATACCATTCGATTATGCCAATGGATTTAATAAATGGCACCTAATTTAGGTAACTACTTTGCTATATACGGTGGAGCGCTTTCACGGTGTCGACGCTAAATAATTGACTACCACCCCATTAGCTGTACGTGATAAAGAAAAAAGAAAAAAACAAACATAAATTCAGTTAAAGTAGGTTATAGTCTATCCGAGATAAATTGTAGAAGGATTCGATCTTACATAATGGAGTGTAATGTTTGGTTCCCGTTCTTCGCCATTTTATATCTTATTTTTATGACACGAAAGGTTAACGTCCTCTGTGACATTACGAACTGTTTCGTGATCGTTACGGTTTTTCTCTCCCTATCCGACAACGACTTTTAAATGCTTTGGAATCTAAATTGAGCTAATTATAATAACCGATGGGTTACTGGAGAAATAATAATTAGCTATAAATCTTTCATTTCTATACGTCTGGTTGATTTTCAAAAGACGGATCTGAAGCAGGAAGTGTGTGTATGTCTGAGTTTCCATACGCGATCGATAAAATTTGGCGCGAGTATCTCGTTGGATCTTCAGAAAAGGAAAGGGGGAGGGATAAAAGATGAGGAACGATCAATTCAAATCACGAATCTCCGCGCTGTTTAGTTAAATGTTAAAGAACCTATAATTCGTTGTAAGACCTTCCGAGTATGGTATGCGATGGGAGGGATTTAGCCCATTGAAGGCACTATCTCATCTGCTTCTCCCCTCGTTCGACCTTGACTGCGTTTGTTGGCTTCTACAACAGACTAGTTTTGTTTCGCCCGTCATTTATGAAACAACACCTACACTAGCCATTCTCCCTCCTCACGAAAGGATTTATTTTATTTTATTTTTTTTTTATAAAGAATGCGCTTCGCATTCATTACGTTTCTCGAAATAAAGGGTAATAATTGACTATAAAATTCATTGCGTGAATTAATGGATGCCTGCATTTTATTCAATGATTACTGTATGAAAAAAATAATAAAAGAAAATCGCATTTAAAATAATAATATTATTATTATTCTCTTTAGAAAATTGGATTTATTCACAACTGTTTTTATACATTATTACTGTATATACGTAGTATATATATATTTTTTATTTTACTGTATAGGCATTCTTATATTTACGAAGAATAAGCACGTTAATCTAATATAAATGTATTTATTTTTTTTTTTTGGTATGTTTTTTTTTGTAGGTGATTTAATATAATTTATGAATTTTATGGTTGTTTTTAACCTCTCGAATTCATAAATACAATGGGGAAAAATTCATGTGTGGAATGATATCGGCTTTAAAAAGTTTATTTTTTTTTAAATAATAGATTTAATTTTTTAAAAAGTAGGGGAGGCTCAAAAGTCAGTTAACCGTTTCCCAATCGAATTACTCCCTTCGAATACTTAATATTAGTTTTATTAAAGGCCCATTGGTCAAAATATTTTACTTTTTTTTAAAATCAAATTTGATATCATTTTTACACTTTCTCATTTATGAAAATGGAGGAATGATGTCAAATCCGTGTAATTAAATAATTCGAATAATGTACTGTACCTTCTTCTAGTGTACGCAGGTGCATTCGTCGTGTCAAATTATCGCGAAAGTGTAAAACTGCGAGGAAAATCTGTATCATTCCTGTCTTTTTTTGTAATGAGAAAGTGTAAAAATGACGAAGGCTCTTGACAAAATTAAACGAGTACTGTACTTATTGGTTTTTTAGCGCTTCGGTACACTTTAAACTTCTTTCCTGGTTTGTTCTAACAATTATAAATTCAATCGATGCCGCGGTTAACTGATTTTTGAGTCACCGTATATAACATTTTATACAAAATTTCTCGAATTTAGCTCGCACATAAATCTGAATTCATTCCTTTCACAGCCGAGTGAATTTAACTTTGCAAACTTCGCCGTAAAATTATGTTCTTAGAACCAATTTAAATGATATTATTCCTGTTTTTAACAATTGTTCCAGTTGTTAAAAAGTTACCGGATGAAAGTGTTTTTTTTTTTTTCCTGATAACGGAAAACTTTCTCATGTAATTAATATTTTTTAGAATTTGTGCTGCACTTTCCGCTCCGTAAGCAGAAAAATAATGATTATGTAATCTATTTATTGATAGGATAATGGGTATTTATCAACACTTTATACACTTTGTTCCCATTTTACATAGATAGAGCGTGAAGATTAGACTATAGAAAAGTCATTTCGCTAAAAAAAGAAATCAGTGTTGTTGATTCAATAGACCGACAGACCGACACTTTTTTTTTTCCTAGATTAAACTTAAGGCTTTGAAACCAGTAACTGATATCTTCAAGAAGATTATTAATGAAATTGCATGGGATTAATATTGTCTATGACTATTATCTCTCTTAATTAATAGCGCATTAGTAAGGCAGATAAAAACATTTAATTGATTAGAATACAAATTAGAAAATATATCGAGTCATTCATTCCTCGGGAAGGAATGAATAACTCGATATATTTTCTAATTTGTTATATCCTCTTGTAAAACGTTTTATGAATTAGGAAAAGAATCTAATGATCTCGAACTTGTACAGGATGTTTTGACTCCATACTTGATAATAAACCCCCCATTTAAGTCAGTCGTGTAACTCTATCCTGTATAATTAAAAAAACAGAGAAGAGAGAAAGAGAACTGCGAATCATACGACCCGAAAGTGAACAATAAAGTGAAAGAACGATCCTGCAAAATTGCTTTAACAATGCAATCTACCGATGTCCCAATTCTGCAGGAATTGGTAAAATGGGATTCAGTTTTCAAGTGAAGTTGCAATTGTTTAATCTTTTATTTTTTTTTCGCGATTTTTTTAAAGTAATTTTCTGTATTGTCTGACAATGATTGTAAGACAATACAACCGTAATAATCAGATTTCAAAGATACTAGATCAATATATTCAAATTAAGCGCGAGGGGAGTTCAATTCTCCTCATTAAAATGCTTCAATAACAATTTGTTCCCTCCCATCTATCATCAAAGTGATAAATTTATGGGTTGCTTATAGGATTTATTAACGATGGGAAAGAGGCCCACAGTACTAGTATTTCCGTGCGTTGCTTTGTTAGCAGCATTTGTAAACAGCGCAAACAATATAAATTCATCAAGATGGCAATTTTTTCATTGCTAAATTACTTTACTCTCGAGTAAATATAATACATTTTCCTTCAAAAAGACCTCACTTTTATTAATAAAATAGTTTTATACAGGAAAATAGATTTCTTTTTAAGTTTATGGTCTTGGTTCGTAGAATAATAATTTAACAATTATCAATAGCTGTTCCATCGATTTATCTGTTTTGCTAGCAGCCATTATCAATAAGTTATCGTCAAATTCCACCGACTAAATAACA